TGGTCAGATGAGACCAAAATGGAGCTCTTTGGCATCAACTCAACTCGCCGTGTTTGGAGGAGGAGGAGGAATGCTGCCTATGACCCCAAGAACACCATCACCACCGTCAAACATGGAGGTGGAAACATTATGCTTTGGGTGTGTTTTTCTGCTAAGGGGACAGGACAACTTCACCGCATCAAAAGGACGATGGACGGGGCCATGTACCGTCAAATCTTGGGTGAGAACCTCCTTCCCTCAGCCAGGACATTGAAAATGGGTCGTGGATGGGTATTCCAGCATGACAATAACCCAAAACACACGGCCAAGGCAACAAATAAGTGGCTCAAGAAGAAGCACATTAAGGTCCTGGAGTGGCCTAGCCAGTCTCCAGACCTTAATCCCATAGAAAATCTGTGGAGGGAGCTGAAGGATCGAGTTGCCAAACGTCAGCCTCGAAACCTTAATGACTTGGAGAAGATCTGCAAAGAGGAGTGGGACAAAATCCCTCCTGAGATGTGTGCAAACCTGGTGGCCAACTACAAGAAACGTCTGACCTCTGTGATTGCCAACAAGGGTTTTGCCACCAAGTAATAAGTCATGTTTTGCAGAGGGGTCAAATACTTATTTCCCTCATTAAAATGCAAATCAATTCATAACATTTCTGACATGCGTTTTTCTGGATTTTTTTTGTTATTATTCTGTCTCTCACTATTCAAATAAACATACCATTAAAATTATAGACTGATCATTTCCTTGTCAGTGGGCAAACGTACAAAATCAGCAGGGGATCAAATACTTTTTTCCCTCACTGTATAGCATCAGCAGGTTATACATTTGTTTGTGTAGGTCTATGAGTGCGTGGGTGTGGATCACAACAAGATTGTGGCCTTTGACCATCAAACCTCTGTAAAACACAGCACCTGCCCTGGATATTTTATATCATCACACACTCCACCCCCTCGCCTGTCTGTGAGCAATGATTGGGGGGCAGTTAATAAGAGAGCGGAGGAGCTTCCGTCTTGGGGTGGTGAGCTCACGAACTCACGGACAGCTCCGGTTTGGCAGTGGAGGTCTCGCTTTGAATGCACCGAGCCGCATTATCTTTTGAAATCGGCTGTGCTTAACGCTGCTTGTGAAGCGACCTGGCCTGTTGCTCCGTTAAAAGATCCGGGTCTTCTCGGCCACAGCGACGTCCTCCCCTTCTGTACCGGATTTCAACATTGAGGCTGACGATCCTGAATTTAACCAGGCTGCATCGTGCGAGCAGCTTACAGATCCTGAAAAGATCTGGGCACGTTCCCATCAGTGAGCTCCTCCGACAGGCAGGGCTAAGTTGGCCGAGTCACGTAAACCGCACGACCAACCACCGCATGCCCAAGCAGCTTCTATTCGGCCGGATAGAGGGGGCTAAACGTCGTCGAAGGCTGATATTATAAAGAAGGATTTGGAGTTGATCGGACTTGCCGATGACTGGTACCAGCGGTGTCAAGATCGGCCTCTGTGGAGGAGTATCTTGAAGGACGCGACTGGGCAGTGTCGCCCTCCAACAACAGCAGAGGGCGGATAAAGCGACGCTCACAACAACGATCGTCGCGCCGGGCGGCTAAAACGCAGCAAGCTGGCACAGTGGGGAGCACAGGTGGGTGCATTTGCCTGCCAGTCTCTGCAGTCGGTCAACCCATAACCAGCTGGATTATGTCCCGTGACTTGTCAGCGAGCCTTCAACGCGGTCTCAAAGTGCACCTCGTCTGGCACAAGCGCCTTGACGACGTCACCGCCACTTAGTGACGAAGGTTCTTGTTGTATGCGCGCACACCGCATGCATAGCAGGGGCCAGCGACGCAGACAACCCACTTACTGCAGTTATTTATTGCTTTGCTTTAAACATTCCCGAGCCGAGTGTAAGCAGTAGGTGTAATTGAAGAGCATCTGAATAAGGTTGCATCCAATTACAACCAATGCCCACACCTGCAGCGGGCATTTTAATGATTTGCAATCCATCACCTGCTCCATATAAATAGTGTGTGTGTGTGTGTGTAACCCTGGATAGGCTATATGCACAGGTTTAGGTAATTGGGAAGGATATATTGACGCGTCTTTCCCAAACACAAGCGGGCCCCCATCGCAGTGGCTTGCGTTACGCGTGTTTGTGAACAGCAGCATTGTAATGTGATAGGAATGGGAATTGAACTTAGGTTTCCGTGTTTCGTGGAGTTCAGCTGCTCTACGTTATCATCATCATCATCCATTATCCATCCACTGCTGGATGAAGGCCTCCACCACGCTATCGCCATCCATCACAGACCAGTGGCTGCTCCCTCTGTACGGGGCGTAAATTTGATCTCACAGCGGAAATTAAATCTTTTAATGCACCGCTCCAAGTTGTGCTAATGGAACACCGTTAATTACTTTGAGTACAAATAACGTAATGATCCAGATTCGTTTACGTGTATACGATAAATTGTCGGATTAATAATACATTTACCGGAAGCCTTAATCATAATGTTGAAGATGTATGTATCTGGTTAAACGGAGCTGTGTTGACGGTTCGACTAAATGGGACATGATATGTAACCCCGAATGCTGTTAAGGGAAATGATATTAGCGAGCGCCTATTAAGGTCAATAGGGCGCACGAGGGAAGGTGTGAGCAGCACACGCCCGGCCGCCTTTGTCTCCCCAGTGCTGACGTTTACACGCCGTGCCAGTTACTCATTTTGAGGCTGAGTCGCATGTATTCGTCACCGATATTGGTCGTGGGCAGGAAATCTAACTCGGGTTCTAAGTGGTTGGGAGCGCAGTGCGTTAAACACTACACTGCCGTCAACGCGACGCTTGTGCCAGGCTAAGTGCACTTTAAGGCCACGCGAAGTGTCGAACGCCCGCTGGCATGAGGTCACGGGACAGACCGAGGTGCCACACACACAAACACACACAGACGCACACAGCACTTTGACATCGCCAACCTGGGCTACGCGGTGGTCGCCCATCTCAGCGCGTATCCAGGTTCAACCACCCGGCTGAGCATCCCAAGCTCTCTTGAGATTGGGCGCATTAGCGGTGGGGGTTGGTCCTTGTGTCTCTTTAAACGGTCGCAGTGAAGCAAAAAGGAAACGCCGGTGTTGAATACGACCGTGGTCCGAACGTTCGTTCTTCCGACGTGGGGACATTGCCCCGGGGGCGCGCCGTTTCGTGCCACGTGTTGCCTTAGGGGCCGTCCTTAAATGACGTCACGCGATTTTGGACGATTTTTGATCCCCCCCCTCCCTCGTCACACGGCGTCATAAAAAGTCAGACCCCCCCTCAAATATGACGTCACAAAGCTCTGCCCCCCCCCCAAAAAAAATGCTTCAAATCGCTTTAAACTATTGTCATTCTAGTGCGTATTTAATGTGGCGCTGCACTCTGATGTTGTAGGAGAAAACATTTATTAAAACATATATTTAATTAAGTAGAACGTGTTGTCTATGTTTATTCAAAGTTGACCCTGCCTGAGATGATTGTCAGACGCGCCACCTGTGCCCCCTACTGCGTCCACTCGCTGTTTTTTTTTTAATCCGCCCTCCGCTGTCGCTGATGGGCGACTGCCTCCAACTTTGCTCAGTAGCGTCCTTCACGAGCCCCCTCTCTCCGCTCGCTCGCACGCGCACACGCACGCTCTCCACACACAGCACATGCACTCAGAAGTCTCAAACGCGAGTAAATGCGCTGCTCCAATAAAATCCCTCGCGAGAGGAGACAGATTTAAAGTAAGCATTCCAGTTTTCTGAACTCCCCCGTTAGAGCCGAAACAGGCTTGTGGGGCCAAGTGCTGTTATCGAGCAGTACCTACGAAGGCCGAAACGGAAAAAACCAGGGGGTGGGTGGCCAACACCACGCCCGGCCGCCTTTGTCTTCATTTGCACCAGATGATGTATTGAGGCCGAGTCGACCGGTTGGAGGCTCGGGGCCGGTTCAGATAATCGTCTCTGGTGTTGGTGGCCGTAAGCAGAGGGAATCGAACGCTATCTAAATCGCCCCCCACCCCACTCCCATCCCCCCCAATTCCTCCTAACCCACCCCCCCCCCATTTCCCCATCGCACACCGCACACACTCCCATTCTCAGCTTGTTTGGCTCATCGACCGATTCGACTCTTTAATTTTTTTGTTTAAACAAAAAAAAAGGCAATTCCGCACCGCTGCCCTCCATCTCCATCGGCCGTGTTCAATAATTCACAGAGTGCATTTTGTAAAAGGCGGGGAAGGGAGGGAAGGGGGGGCTTGGGGATGGGGGTAAAACTCCCAACTTCTAAAAGCCAACGAGAAATGGCACAAGATGTAAAACGAAGTAACATTGAAAATGAAAAAAATAAAAGATAGTGGAAGACTAAAACGCGAAGATTCCATCTCGGAGAACTCGTTAGTGACTCTGGTTAGGTGGTAACCACGCCTTCAAAGGCTTGCCAGGTGTTGTAGGATAGGGGGGCTGCATTAAGCGTGGCCAGGATTTGTCAAAGTTGAGGTGTTTTCCCTCCATTCGCTTGGGTTTCCTCCGGGAAGTCTGGGTTTGGAGTTTCTTCCCCCCCACCCCCCCGCGACACAAAGCGAAACTCTCACGGAATGTTTCAAATATCTGAAAGTAGCAAACAACCCTGCCTGAGTCTCCACTCCGCGTGTACTCTCCTGGGGCAAACAATTGGAATTGCCACAAATATTAGCGTGACGTGGAGCACTATACTCGGCTTCACACTCGCCGGGGTGATCGTCGCCTTTGCAATTGCGTGCCACCTAAACTCTGCAACTCGTTGCCCGTCGAGGTCACGACTTTCGAGACATTTACAAATCTTCAAATCTCGACTAAAAAAACGTTAATGTTTAAAATGGCGTTCTCTCTCTATTTAGTTCTTTTCAAACCGTCTTTCTCGCTTCTTCGTTATTTGGTTGTTGACTATTTTCCCGCCTTGCCACGCATAGCGCCCTGAGAACGACTGTTTAAGAGCGCTTCATGAGTTTAAATTATTATTATTGTTGTACCGCAGTGTGTCTACAAACGTGTCATCCACGGGGAAAGTTGGAGCAAAGTAAAGCTAGCGTCAGCGACCTTCAGCATCTCATGGACAGAAAGCAAATTTGAAGCAACAACAGCGGATAAGTTGTGACACACCAACGGTAATAATGCACGTGTTTAAGACGTTCGGCAAAAAAGAAAAGAAATTATTCCGTTCATATAACTGCTCAACTTGGAGACATTCATGCTTTGATATTTTCTTGCCTCTGTGCTGTGTGGCCCTATTGGCGTTGTTCTCTGATCTAACACCGGTGGTGGCACAAGGCCACGAAGGAGCCTCTCTCTGGTCAGTTTAAAAAAAACAATTCACGCATTATTATTACTATCAAAGCACGTTCGTTTGCATGTTTTACCACAAGCATGTGTGGTAAATGCCTTGAAATGGGTGCCTATTTGGTTCAGTTTCAGTTTTCATTTATTTGGTATAGCCCTGTGAGCCATTCGGCTCTTAAATCGGGTGCAACCGCAACAAACAAAAAAACATGAACAAGAAAACATCTTAAAGTGACTACGCGCAAGCAGAAAAATCCAGGAAAAAAACAGCAAAGTCTTCCATAAAAAGCACCGTACACCAACGCTGTGTGCAAAAATCCCAGTGGAATGCAAGTTAAACAACAACAACCACAAGACAACTTGGATTAAAGCCATCAGTCTAACGCCGTACTACAACAAACATGGCCAAACCAAAGTGAATTTTTGGAAGCGTTACAGAATTCCACGAGTGCATATATATGGATATATATATATTTCTTACGTGTCCGTGCGTGTGCGATACAGATCCGGGACAAGGCTGTGCTGGTGACGGGATGCGACTCCGGCTTTGGACTGTCACTCGCGCAGCACCTGCACTCGAAGGGCTTCAAAATCTTCGCCGGATGCCTCCTGAAGGTGCAAGTCACAGTGACGTTGTAGTGGGGTTTTTTTCGTGGTTGTTTTGAGCCCAGCCAGCCCAGAGTTGTACAAGGCAATGCAGTTTACCCGCTCCTCGGTTTCCTTTCTTGCGAGATGAATACGCCTTTCCAAACTGGTTTTGGATCCTTTGGAATGAATTGAAAGCATGCCATCAGATAACTGTAGCTTTTTTGGGGGGGGGGGATTTGTTAGTTACGCCAACGTTGACTTTCATGACTATGTACCTGTACAGCCCTTTTTTTAAATATATATTTGGATATGTTATTGATTCACTCCACCCCCCCCCCCACCCCACCATAATGAGATGAATTGTCACGTTTCAGGGTCGTGGTGCTGTTCTGAAATTCTATGCTGCCGAGATGACGAGATGTTAACTACCTCGCCTGGTATACAGGAAGTCGTGGTTTCAATCCTGACCCTGACGCCTGTATATTTGGAGTTTGCGTGTTTTCCCCGTGGTCGCGTGGATTTTTTTCCAGGCCCTCCGGATTTCTGCATTCAATATCCGAGCAACTCCCTCTATTATTTCCGGTTAAAGGGGTACAACCTATTATTTTCTCACCTCGACACGTGCAGGTTTCGATGGATGAGACTCGTACGATGAAACCGTCACGATGCCAAGCGCGCGCGTGTGCGTCGCTGCAGGGAGTATTTGGCTGTATATTCTTGGTTCTTTCGGTAAAGTCACGTAGATAAAAAAATAATAATACAATAAAAATAAATTGCAAATAAAAAATTATTTTCTTTTTATTGTATTTTCTATCTACGTGACTTTACCGATATAACCAAGAATTACGAATTCCTGCAGTAACGAAAGTTGTAAGTTAGTATTTGGCTGCTATAAATGTCGACGTGTCCTGTATCATTTCTCATGGCCAGGTCGCTCCTTAAAAAGAGCTATCTAGCTAAGTGGGCTTTGCCAGGTAAAAAAAAAATACGTAATAGTTTTATAGCTTTAAATAGTTGATAGTTTAAACTGATATCTTATTATAGTTATTTAATAAATAAGAGACTACACACTTTATACACACCCTGTGTGCCCACCAGACCCAGGCAAAAAAGGCAGCGGAAGGAGGCGGTGGTGGTGGGTGAATGGGTGGGTGGGGGGGGGGAGGGGTGACTGAGCGAGCTGATTCGTGGCGTGTCTCTGAGCGGCCAACACGCGTGTTCTTATTGCAAGGCTTTTTCGTGTTCCAAGCCCTGCTAACTCTGCCGGCGACTTGAGAATGACACGCACCAGTCGTACGAGGGAAGCCATGCGAGAGGGGGAATCTCGCTTTGCGGTGCATTAGGGAACAGTTAGAGTGCGCGAGTGAAAAATGCACTCCCGTTGATGACGATGCCTTTAGAGGATTCGTTCATGAATGTTTGATTATAGCCAGAGGCAAACAATGGGGAGTTACGTTTCTCTCTCCCGCAGAGGCGCACATGTCCGGTTTTGTGGTCTTTGTTTTATAAGAACAAGACGTGTGTGTGTGTATTTTCAGATGCTCATCATCTTTGGTGTGGTACGACTGAGAAGCGGGTTTGGAATCGCGATGTGACATGTGTGGAGGCGTCGGTTTGCACTGCTGTCAGTTTTGCAAGGAAGGCTGATGGAACCGCCTCGATTTCACGTCGACAACAACACAAACAAAGACAGATGTCCCCCGTATAGCCTACACAACATTTTTGGGCAAGTGCAGTTAGCGAGCACCTAATGAAGGCAGGCACTTTGGTACACGAGGGAGTGGGTGGCCAGCATCACGCCCGGCCGCCTTTGTCTCCCCAGTGGCGAAGATTAAACACCGCACCAGGTACTCATTTGAGGCCGAGTCAACCTAGGGGAGGCCCAGGACCGGTTCAGATAATCGCCACTGGTGTTTGCAGTGAGCGGGAATCGAGCTCGGGTCGCAGGGTTAGTGCAGCGAGCTAACCGCTGAGCCACCGCTTCCCAAACACACACACACACACACGTCTAACACCCGCTGTATAGACTACTGTGAGTGAGTACACTTGGCTAAGAAGATCAAATTTTGCCGTAGATATAGTTAAGTAAATGCTCACGCTAACGGTGTTCTAGGCAGTCAAAAAGCTGACTTTTGGCAGAAATAATGAAGTATATGCCTCGAAATTGGCAAATCGAATTTGGACAGGTTGATCAGTTTCACTCGTAGAAAGTCAGTCTGTAGTTCTACATTGCCATTAGCATCGTGCTACACAGATTTATAGAGACACAGAGTATATACAAGGAGGGTCATCAGCGAATCAAATCTTTCCCCTTTATTCTTGGGGGTCTTTCGGTAAAGTTACGGAGATAGGAAAAATACTAACAATAAAAAAAATGAAAATAAAGTGAATGAAATTATTATTTTGTATTCACTTTATTTTAATTTCTTATTTTGTATTATTTTATTGTTATTATTAATAAAAATTAAAATGAAGTGAATTTTTCTCGCGCGTCCTTCGGTTTTTCCCTCCACATGTAGAAAACACGCGCTTAGAGCATTTGCCTGCTACACATTTCCACGTGACAAGCCGCTTCGCAGAGCTGTCACTTGTGCCAGCCAGGTCGCTTCTGAAAAATAAGAGAGCTACATGGCTCAGTGGGGCCTTACCTGGTCAAATAAAAACATAGTTGTTTTATCACTTCATCAAGCAGTCCCTCGAGACCCGCACGCGGCCTCCGAAGCTGAGTGTTGCCTACCGCTGTCCTAGCGCGTGGGATAAGAGGTAACGTAAAGGCGCCTCCGAAGTCGTTCTGTGATGTCACGTTCCGCGGGACTGTTCTCGAACACGGGTTCATGACAGTGCTCCGCGAGAGATCCGAACAGACGCATCGTGCGCTGGCACGGCGCCAGTAGCAGCACACTTGGAACGTACAAACAAAACGAGGGAAACCCCTTCTGGATAGATGCACGAGGTGTCTGTGGTGGTGCGTGAGAGTGATGTGTGTGTGTGTGTCACGTGTGTTGGAGTGTGAGCGTGGCTGGGTGTGTGTGTGTCACGCGTGTTGGAGTGTGAGCGTGGCTGGGTGTGTGTATATGTGTCACGTGTGTTGGAGTGTGAGCGTGCCTGGGTATTTTGTACCATCGGACACTCCACCCCCACAACTCCCAATCGGTGATGGGGCAGTTGTGGAGAGAGTGGAGAGTTTCCCATACCTGGGCAGTGTGCTTATGACTGGCTCCAGTTTAACAGCAGAGGTCTCACTCCGAATCAGTCGAGCGGCAATATCTTTTCATCGGTTGCGTAACGCTGTGTGGAAGCTATCTGGTCTGTCGCTCCGCACTAAGCTTCAGGTGTTCTCGGCCACGGTCATTCCCTCCCTTCTCTACGCTTGCGAAACGTGGACCCCACTAATGGAACATCTTCGCCGGTTAGAAACATTTAGGCTGGCCTGCCTACGATCCATCCTGGGTTTAACCAGACTGGTTTGTGTGAGCTCATAAATCCTTGAAAGATCTGGGCAGGGTCCCATCGGTGAGCTCCTCCGGCAGGCAAGGCTGCGATGGCTGGGTCATGTAGCCCGCATGCCCAGCCACCGCATGCCGAAACAGCTTTTGTTTGGCCGGATTGAGGGGGCTAAGCGGGCGCGGCACGGGCTAGAGAAGAGATGGAGTGATGTGGTACAGGAGGACGTGGAGCTGAGTGGACTTGCCGATGACTGGTACCAGCGGTGTCAAGATCGGCCTCTGTGGAGGAGGCTCGTGAAGGATGCTACTGGGCAGTTGGAGGCAGTCGCCCTCCAACAACAACGGAGGACGGAGGAGCGACGCTCAGAACAACGAGCGGATCGCCGGGTGGCTAAAGCACAGCAGGTTGGCACAGTAGGAGACACAGGTGGTGCATCAGCCAGTCATCTCAGTCAGTCGACCCGTGGCACCTGGGTCTGCCCCGTGACCTCCTGCCAGCGGGCGTTCGACACTTCACGTGGCCTCAGGGTGCACATATCCTGGCACAAGCGTCGTGGTGACGTCACCGCCACTTAGTGGCGAATGGCGGTTGTTGTTGTTGTTGTGTCACGTGTGCTGGAGTGTGAGCGTGGCTGGGTGTGTGTGTGTGGGAAGCGGTAGAGTAGTGGTTAGCGTTCCACGCTTCGATTCCCGCTTACGGGCAAGACCAGGTGAGCAGAGCCATCCCTGGGGTCGACTCAGCCTCAAATGGCGAATCGGGGCGACTGTCCGGGGCCCCGCGCATTGAGGGGCCCCACGCTTCGACGTCACGGTGTCAGATGTAATAATCCGGGTTTAGTTTGAAGGTGTCGAGGCGGGGGGGGGGTCCACACAGTGCGAGTTGCCCCGAGCCCTGCACCACCACCACCCCCACCCCTCCATAGGCGGCCTTGCCAGTGACGATTATTCGAACCCCTAGATCTGCTCGGCCTCAACTGAGTACAACATCTCCACTCGGGAGACAAAGGCGGGGCCGGGCGTGGTACCGGTCACCCTCCCCCCGCCCCTCGTGCGTCGTGTCGGCCTTCACGCGTCGCTGCTCGTGAAACAGCGCGTGCCACCCTCCACCCTCCCCCCAGCAGCGGTCTGTTCTGGCTGCCACAGCGGGCGGGCGTGCGGCCGGGTCGGTGACTCGAACCGGCCTTGGCGCGGGATGCCCACGACCGCGCTCCAAACCTCCCCACCGTCGGATTTGCCTCCCCACCCCCTGCCACCCCACCACCCTCGCACCCCCCCCCCACCACGTACGCGTGTGCGTGTGCGTGCGTGTGTGCGTGCGTGTGTGTACGTGTGGGGAGCGGTGGTGTAGTGGTTAGCACGCTGCGCTACGAACCTGGTGACCCGGGTCCGATTCCCGCTCACGGCCCACACCAGTGACGATTATCTGAACCGGTCCCGGGTCTCCCCGAGGTCGACTCAGCCTCAAATGAGTACCTTGGTGCGGTGTGTAAACATTGCCACTAGGGAGACAAAGGCGGTCGGGCGTGGTGCTGGCCACCCACCCCCTCGTGTACCGTTCCGGCCTTCATAGGTGCTCGCTAACAGCACTTGTCCCTACAGTCTGTTAAAGCTATATGGGGGATCTTTATCTTTCTGCGTGTCTTGAACATCTCACGCACCGCACGTAGCCAACCGCGCTAATCGGAGGTGCGGGGGGTGGGGGGGTAGGGCCCCTGGGCTACAGGTACTGTGAGGCCCCCCCCCCCGGTAATATTTTAAAAAGGAAAACAAAGTGAAATTTTATTTTTACAAGGCTAACAACGAATACAATTCAGCATTCGCAAGTGAAATAACTTTTCACTTCATCTCTGGAGGCCCTCCAGCTGGCGGAGGCCCCCTAAAGCCCCCACGCCTTGATGCGGCCCTGCCAGCAGCTCGCAGCTGTATAGAAATGAGGTCTCAATGTCGAGCAGGGAGGGGTCTGCAACCTCTGCGGCTGTTTCAGGACTGCTTCGTGACGTCGTCTATTCACGAGCCACCGTCTCGTATTTTACCAGGGTGCACTGCGGCTCTTGGCATATTGTATTGTGTTTTTCTTTATAGCGAATTCGAACCCCACCCCCCCCCCCACCGCCTGCCCGCCTCTTCTCGTTGTTTTGGTTGCCCACCTCTGATCGAGATGTAAAAGTGCGCAGTTCCAGTGGCTTCCGAATATCGGAAGGGAGAGCGTTCCAGACGGCCCGCAGAAGCGCGTGTGAAAGCGCGCGTCGCCCCGACCGCCGTATGAGTTCGACGGCGATAGCCGAAAGCCGCTGCTGCTGCTGCGAGGACGATCGGAGTTCGCGCGATGGTTTATGCTCCTTGCCGAGATCAGCGAGGTACTGTGGTTCATGTGTGGCAAGCACGCGGTCGGCTGAGCCTCGAATGAGTGCCTGGTGCCGTGCGTAAACATCGCCGCTGGCCGCAGACAAAGGCGGCTCGTGTATACATGGGGCTTGCCTTTGGTGATGCACGTCAAGTGGTCCAGCAGAGATGTTGCAGCTCGCAAAGCGGACAACGCAGCACAGGAAGTGGGTTCATGAACCCATCTGTGCAGACCATAGCGTGTGATCCTCTCTTCTTGGGATGCTCCGGTCAGTCTCCTCCTGCACGGCAACTACTCCTAAACACTCAAGAAAGGGCCACTAGCCAAACAGCTCAATGCAGGACCCTCCTTAAAGGGGGTCTTGAAACTCACAGTGAGGCTTTTTTTAAACGTATGAATACATTACAGATGTAGTGACATAACTGGAGTCACTACGGCGGTTAGCGCCAGCTACCATCACAAGAGTGCAGCTGTGTGTCTTGGGCCTCTCTCGGGTGCCAGAGTGGGTTTGCCATTGTAGCGGGCCCTAGGGGGCATAGTCCTGGTGACAGTGAGAGAGGGGTCGAGTGAGGACATGACAGTCTGGCTGACCCCGAGAGGGCACGTGATCGGACGAGGTGGCTAGGGGGGCCAAAAAGGAGGAGAGAGGGACACGTGATGCAGGGGCCAGAGTCTTCGGGAAGGATCTGGAAGGGGGCGTGGCCAAGGGCGGAGCCCGGCCACGCCGCGGCCAATAAAGGCCAAGTCCCGAGCCCCGATCGGGGCTGTTCTCTGGAATCAACCCTCGGTGCAACGCCTCTCCGATTTTCGGTCTTCGCTCTGCATCGTGGGTCAGTCAGAATGTTACCGTCTGACCCGGTTATGTAGTTGCCCCGTTGTGGCTTAGTTAATGCTTCAAGTGGCTATCACCCCGGTTGGGGTGTTTAAATAAACGTGTTGCCTCCAAGTCAAGTGTGTGCCTACTTGAAGAACGCCACACACATATATGAAGTAATAAGGACC